AGTCGGTGAGTAGTGTTAGGGAAGTGAGGCTAAGGAGTCAAAGTCAAAAATGCCAAAGGTTCATTCCTGAAAGGAGCTCGAGTCTGCACTGTGTGGAATTTCATGATGGAGAGCTGGATGTAGAAGACACGACCGGGGTCTCGCGGGACCCGAAAACTTCCCTAAGCCACAGGTGCCGCGCAGGGCGTCCTGAGAGTCAGCAGTGCTGCAGAGCAGCAACAGGAAAGGCAGCCTAGGGGACCCTGGAACCTCCCAGGTCAGAGGAACTGCGGGGCTCAGTGTTTGTGTGTGTGTGTGTGTGTGTGTGTGTGTGTGTGTGTGTGCGCCTGTGTGTTTTGGGGGGTGTTTCTTTCCAAGACAGGGTTTCTCTGTGTCCTGGCTTTCCTGGAACTTACTCTGTAGACCAGGCTGGCCTCGAACTAAGAGATTAACCTTTCTCTTCTTTCATTGCAGGCTACTATAATATTATTAGAATACTCGAGTAGAATTTTTGAATTTAATTTAACTGTTGATATTTACAAACATGATTCATTTACTATTGAAAAGGACAAAGTTCTGGAAATTTACATTCATCCGTGCTAATTTCCGAGTTATACGTAGAGACTGGGCATTCCTGGAGAAATGTTGGATATTAGTCATGAAAGAAATGTAAGGTCTTTTTTCTTTGTTTGTTTGTTTGTTTGTTTGTTTGTTTTAATCGGAGCAAGGGCATCTTAGCAGTTGGGAGCCAAGGAATACCACAAAATTATAACAGGCAGCAAACATCACACAAGAGATTTATTGGGGAGAAACAGAAAGAATAGCGGTTGACCCTGAAAGGGAAGACAGCAGAGGGCTGGCTGAGTGGAGGATGTGGCTTTTACAGTGTCTTTGGAGCAAGTCCAGTTACCTAGTGAAAAAGTACATCAAGGATGGAACTGTTGCTTAGCTATTAAGGCTGAAACATTGTTCGGCCATTAACACCAAGTCAGGAAAAGGGATTTCCAAGACTCAGAGTTTCTGGGCAGGCCAGGGGCAAGGTGATTTTCACAGGAATGCCTGAAGATTGAATTGAGCCCGAATTTTTTTTTTTTTTTTTGCGAATTCCACAAGTATGATTTTAAATATTAACATTTAAAGCTAGACTTTTTATCCAACATTAATTTTCCGCCTGAGATGTAGGAGCACTCTGATGTAAATACAGCATGCTGAAAACTGTCTTAGCCAGGCTTGTTGCACAGGCCTGGATACAGAGATAGGCTGATCTGAGTGCGTTCCGCACTAGCGTGACCTATGGTAAGATCCTATTGCAGAAAGAAAAAAAAACAAAAAATGAAAGAAAGAAAGGAAGGAAGGAAGGAAGGAAGGAAGGAAGGAAGGAAGGAAGGAAGAAAAATGAAATGTTTCTTCTTGTATTAAGTTTTTGTTATTGCTTGTTGGCATCTGGAAAAGCACAGTGTGCTGTTTACTTTCACAGTTAGAAACGACATTCAATATAATCCATGGGGTGGTGGCACACTTGTTTAATTCCAGTACTAGGTAGGCACAGGCAGGTGAATCTTTTGAGCTTGGTGCCATCCTGATCTATGGTATGAGTTTGGGAACAGCCAGAGGTACACTGAGAACATCTGTTTTGGGGGAATATATATATATATATATGAATGAAAAAGCATCAGACTATAGAGCAATATTAGAAAGTATCTTTGAGTAATTATGAATACTCATCTACATCACAAAAAATATCTGCAGTAGTCTTTTGTCTCTTTGGCTCAAGAAAAGCACTCCGTCCATGGACACAAGCTATTATTTTTGGTTCTCATGTTTGCTTTGTTTGACACCTGAATTCACAGTGTTATTCTTTCTGTCCCAGAACTCAACATGTAGACCAGGCTGGACTAGAACATACAGAGTTCCATCCACCTGTCTTAAAAGAAATGCTAAGATTAAAGGTGTGTACCAAGACAACTATTCAAACTGTTATTTTGTATTTTGTGGTTGGTTCACAGCCAATAGTGTGACTGTGGACTTCTTTCAGAAGGAGAGGCAATGTCAGGACCCTGCTGGGAGGCTTTGTACAAAGACTACATATGACAGAATTACAGCACTCTCATTTATATGGATGAGAATAGTTTGCTTCCAACCTCCCTTACTCCTTAGAGATTTTTTTGAAAATTATTCTGCAAGTGTGTGCGCTTTGTGTGAATTAGTCTCACTTCTCACAGAGTAAAGTGAAATCCTCCTCTCTTCTTTACGTGAGTCCCTTTGGCAATTTCCATCATCTTTATGATAAATTCAGAATCTCTCTAAGGTATAATATTCTCATCCCAGTCTTTCAGATTCACTTCTGCCCTTGAGTTTTAACTAAGCAGTGATTAAAAGCGGACATTCAGTTATGCTAACAAAATGCTTTCTAAATACTTTCAGTATTCTGACACTGCGTGACAATTGAGGAATCACTTGTGGAATCCTGTGCTAGAAATCCAGGTGCTTTCTGAAGAATCTTTTTCTCATGTGCAGTGATCACCCAGACCTGCTCACCTGTGGAGCAGAACAGAGACCTGGAAGATGGAGAGGGAGGAGTAGCTAAGGATCCAGGTATGTTGGAGGATTGGTGAAGGAATGGCAAGGGGTTCAAGTGACTGTGGAAGTGGGACATGAAATCAGTTTTGCCACATTCTGTTTCACTGGAAATATTTCTGGAGACTTCCACTGGGAAAAATTCCTTAAGATTATCCTATTGTAGAGATGAGAAGACTTTCTACAGAAGAACTGATACTAGGAGACAGTAAAGTTTGATTTGACTGTGCATGTGAGTGATGCTGCCCTTATTCCACTGATCATGTCTACATGCCAATATTAAATGGTGTTCATTTCAGTGATTTTCATGTATCATAAAAAATGAAAATTAATACCTCTAGGTGTATTTCTTGTTTTCAGAATTTGGAGCTTTAGATATTATATTAATCCATTCCTGAAAATAATGCCAACAGATGTTTGATAAGAATCAGAAGCTATATTTGTAGACTTATCCTGTCTTCCCAGGGATATCTCCTATTGTCTGTTGTCATGACAATTCCAAGTGGTTTCCTTTGCTAATTGGTAATTGTAATACACTGTGAGATCACCTCTAGGTGTGACCCTCTTAGTATTTTCCAGCTCTGTGCTGTTCCTTGGTACTTTCAGTATTGCTTTCTGTAAAATAGGAATTACCTGGCGTCCAAGGCAAGACAAACCACCCTCTAGGTTGTCTTCTCATTTTGAAAAGAACCTGAGGCAATGTGCCTATTTTCATGTTTTGTGTATACTCCTGTTTCTGTCTGCTGTGAATGTCTCCATTCTGGGTTTTGTGCTCTTTTTACCTGTATTGATCATGAACTTTCTTTCTATCCAATGGATTTTTTTGTTGTTGTTGTTGTTGTTTTTAAGACATGCAGGTTTCTCTGTATAGCTCTGGCTGTTCTGGAACTCACTCTGTAGATCAGGCTGGCCTCAAACTCAGAAATCCATCTGCCTCTCTTTCCCAAGTGTTGAATTAAAGGTTAGACCAGTATCACAGGCCTAATGGACCATTTTATCATTAGCAGATACTCCTTATTTTGTATTTCGACTCTTTTATCTTAATTTTCTGTCACTAATTATGATCAGCAGTCTTTTTACACCTATTCATAGTCATAGTATTTTTAAAAACTCCTTCTTTCACAGTATTTTGTATGTTTAGATACAAAATGAATTTTCAGTAGAAAATGCATGCTTTAATCTCAGCAGTCTTTTATTTTATTTTGGTTTTTTTTGTTCTGTTTTTGTTTGTTTGCTTTTGAATGTAGTAGTCTCTTTGCATCTTTCACTCAGGAACTAATACCCATTTAAATTTAAATAAATTACTGAAAGAAATGCATCTGTTATTGTTTTGGAAGTTCAGTGTGGGCACTGACTGGAGAGCATTAAAATCTCCCTATATTAAATTTACATTATTTTATGACCTGTACTATAAAGCTTTGTATTATGTACACAATGACCAGCTTCTGGTCAGCTTCTGTTTAGCAGAGTTTGTTGAATCTGTGTACTCATTTATTGATTATATTAATATTCACTTCAATTGTACATTTGGTTTTTGTTTTAGAAGATTCTGGTTTTTTTCCATTGTGCTTTAAATAGCTAACAAGTGGATCTGTTGATACATTTATTATAGGGTACCTCTTCATATTTTTAATTATTGCTGTTTCCCTGGATGGTTTTAATTTTACCCGGTGCTATTTGTCAGTTCCTGTTCTTCTATCAAGTGTTGCCCCTTTGTGTTACCCTGAAGGATGCACTGTCTCAGATAATCCATGAATGTCTGTGATTTCTTGTATAGGGAGAGAGACTTGGTCCCATGTTCATGTTTTTGTATGCGGATAGATACTTTTCCCAGTACCATTGTTGGAAGAGGCTGTCTAGTCTGCAACCTGTGTTTGTGGTATTTTGGTGACATTCACATGAGCATTGCTATTGGACAGATTCTGGATCTGCTGCTCTACTGCATTGGGCTGATCTGGAATCATACTGGGATAGCTCAAGCATTGCAACATTTTCCTAGGATTGTTCTGTACCTAGGGAATGTGTGCATCAGTGCAAATTCTCAGCTTGTCTTTACTATTTCTCTGAAGAACATTGTGGGAAATTAAAGGTCATGAAGTTTGGATCAACAATGTAAGCCAGTTTCAGAAATAATGTAAATTTTACATTATATCCCCTTCCATCTGTGTAAATCTTCTTTACATCTTCTAGTTAGTATTTAATTCAGTTCCTTCAGTGAGTCAAACGATTCATGGTAGACACCTTTCATCTGCTTGGTTAGTTCATTAAAGGAAGTTTTCTTTAGTCTTCTCTTCCCCTCTCATTTTTATTTATTATTCAGTTTTTAATTTAAATTGATATATTTTATGAGTGTTTTGCTTGCATAAATGACTAAACATCATGTGCATCCTAGAGTCGGAGTGATGGACAGTTGGAAGCCACAGTATGGAGTCTGGGAATGGAAACTGAGTCTCCAAAAGAATAACAGGTACTTGTAACCACTGAGCCATCTTTCTAGCCCTCTATTAAGTTTTATTTATGTGAGTTGCAATAATAGGAACTGTTGTATAGTTATTCTATTTTATTTACATACTGATATCCAAAATCGTGACTTTACACAGCATTTAATATTTCTTATCTTTGCTTGTTTTAAAAACACCATTTATGCTGTATTTAACATTAGTCTAGGCCATGTACTTTGTGCTATGGAAGATACAAAGACCCGTAGTCATCATTCTGGTTTTTTTCTTTTTTCTTTTATGAGCATTGGTGCTTTCCCTGCATGTATGTCTGTGTGAGGATGTCAGACCCTCTGGAATAGAGCTACAGACAGATGGGAGCTGCCATGTGGGTGCTGGGAAATGAACCTGGGTCCTCTGGAAAAGCAGCCTGTCTCCCAACTGTTGAGGCATCTCTCCAGATCCCATTTAATATTTCTTAATAATTTAATTTAATAATAATTTAATTTCTTTAATTGTCACATGTTTATATGTATTCCTAAACATAAAAGTACAACCTACTCAGTCTGTATGTTTTCAGGAATGTGTATTTGGTATTGGATAACCATTCAAGTATACTATTCTCTGGGGAAGACTATCTTTCCAGTTCTCAGAATTCCTTAGTGTTTCACTAGGTTTTGAAGCATAGTGAGCTTTCTCGCTCCCATGTGCCTTAGTGCAGAAGTTCTGTTGCTGATGTGACAGTTGGACTGAGCATCACAACTCTGCATTTTGACTGACTGTGGTTTTCTGTAATAATCTTCATGTGTTCCAGAAAGAACTTTCCTTGATGAGTGGTGAAGATTTCATTTATCTCTGGCAATTAGAATAAATATTTAGGTTGTAGTTAGGAATTATGCTGATTTAGTAAAGTAGTGGTTGCAAGTTTTCCTCCAAGATCTGTGACTTGACTGATTCTAGAGAAATGAGAAAGCATCAGGGTGGGGTGGGAGTAGGGCAGGTATTGTAAGAGCCAGAGGAACAGGAGGTTTGCTATGAGATTGTGTCTCCTAGAAATGTCAGAGAAGCTACATGCATGAATCATGGTTGCCTATACATGAGCAAAACAAGGACAACACCAAGAGACGTGATTTCACTCTTGTTGAGAGGGTCTTAAGTCAATAAGAATGCTGTTGGTTGCCAGTAGGGTATGTGTGCCACTCTTGCATCCTCGGAGTTATGGTGCAGTGCAGATCACTGTTATGGTTCATAGGTGTCATGTTTATGGCTTCCTCTTTGTAAGGGTTGCCATGTTGTCTTCTGGTACCATGAAAGTTAGCCCCTAGCAGGGATGAGTCTCAAGTCTTCTGTGTTCTGTGTCTGAGATGCCTGGCTTCTTAAACATTGAGGACTCTCTGGTTATGACTGGGAGGCAACCATGGGCAACAGCAATAACCTGTAATTTTGGGGAGTCTCTTGAACTGCTGTAACCAATAACTTCAAAGCAGATATCTCATGCCTTGTGTAAGCGTTTTTTTAGAAAATCTATGGCTCTTCCTGGGGACATTATCATTAACTTTTCATTTACACGCTAAATGTATATGAATACTCAGACTTTTGTCTATTATAACCATTATTTGCTGGGTGGATATTAGTATGATTCCTTATGACTTTTTAGACATCTTACTGTTATTTTACTGTCCTTCTTCTGGGTTTATATATGTCCTTTTTCCCATAATTAAATCTACTCCACTGTTATTCCATTTCCCCTCTTTAGATTGTTTCTTTCCTGTTATTCCATTATGTTTTACTCCCCTACATCCCACCGTGGTCCATTTTTGCTTGTCTGGTTACTATAGTTATTCTAGGTTGTAAACTCTGAATATTCGGGACTACGAACTTCCTATGAAAGAGAACATGCAGTGTCTTTCTTTCTGGGCATGGGTTACTCCAATCAGTATGATCTTTTCTAGGTTATCAATTTACCTTCAATACTCGTGGTTTCACTTTTCTTTACAGCTCAATAATATTTCATTGTGTATATGCACCACATTTTCACTATCCATTTGTCAATTGCAGGACATTTAGGGTCTTCCCATTTTGTAGCAACTATGAACATGGGTCAGTCTGTTATCTGTAGAGTAAGACATTGAGTCTTTTGAGCATATGTAAAAGAGTGGAAAAGCTGAATCACATGCTAGATTTATTTAACTTGAGAGTTTGCTTATTTAATTGAGGATTTCCATATTGACATCCACAGTGGCTAGATTTTGTTGGTTTTCTATTCCTAATGCTTTTGTTATTTATGTTGTGACTGGTTGGATTCTTGGCAGTATTCTTCCTTCTCTGTAAGTATTAGTGTCTTCCTGTCTTGGCCATATATGCTTACTTTCTAGATCTCCTATATTTATCTATTTTTACATATAATTTATTATTTCTCATGTCCTTATAGATAATTTCTCTGTTTCTTCTGTATGCATTTTGTCTCTAATTTATTACATGCTATGCTGCTTTAGTGAAATAAATGGTGTTATTTGTGACTATCTTCCAATGCACTTATGTCTCCATCAATTTAAAGAAACTATTTTTCTGGGTACAACAATATTGTTGATGGAGATTTCTCTCTCCAAGCTTAAAATGTAGTTCCATGCTGTCCTGATTTGGGGATTATTACCCAAATAATATTAATATTATAATATTACTACCAGGACACCTGGTAGTATTGTAGTGCTTTGATCTGTTTATGTGGTGTGACACTGTTCTTTAATAGATTTCAGTATTGCTTTTTTTCCTTTTTCACCCCTTATATTAAAGGGCTACAGACTGGCAATTCATTGTTCCAAAAAGAAAAACTCAAAGAAGAGAAATGGAAAGAAATGGATAATTCTCCAGTAAACATGTCCCAGGTCAGTGGTCATATCTATTTCTTTTTGTAGAAATGTTATATTTTCAGACGTCACAAATCTTCAATTTTCAGATTCTCATAAGTTTTTAACCTTACTATTTAAAAGGCATTGCAAACGAAGAACAAAAAAATTCATATACTGAAATTTGTCAGAGCCAAAGACTATACAGCTTAATGCACTTTTTTTGCAGTTAGAGTAGACATGGGAACAGAAGCTCTGGAGCCTCAGATGTGATTTTATGTTTTATGTTTTCACTATCAAATATATTTTGATGAACTGATTCTACACCAAAAAAAAAGAAGAAAACAAAATGTGTCAAAATTAAAACTAGAAAAGTGTCTTGTCCTGCAGGACATTAAACAGGGGTCCGGGGAGGTCACCTGAAAGAGAGTGGAGGTGGGGGGAGCAGGCAAAGACAAAAGGAATGACGACCTGTCTATAATCTGATCAGATCATAATTTTTACTTTTGCACACACAGGTTATATACACAAAAAAAAGCAGGATGTGGGGAAGGGGATGACGCAGGAGTGTAGGTGTTCAGGGGGAGTACAGATCTCTTCCAGAACAGAGTGTCAGCTGGGTGAAGGTTCAGGGGACAGACCACTATGACTCCGCCTATGATTCACTTGTCTTTATCTAAGTTGGTACTATCCACCATCTACAAGGCCTTATGACTAGGCTTGGCAGCCTTCCCCCAAAGCTGTCTGTTTACAATAACTCCCAGCTGTTTCAGTGATTTTCCACAGAGACCCAAGACTTAGTGCTAGCAGGCATGTATGTCAGGCCTATTGCTGATTTTAGGCCTTCAGTGTGTAAGCAGGGCTGCTCCCGACAGAAAAGCAATTAGCGTTATCTCTTTTTTCATAACTGGTGATCATTATCTGCATTCAGTCCTATCTCAACCCCTGATATTTAACCTTTCTTGTTCTCTTTTCTCCATGTTCTGTCATGCTCACATGTGCATTGTTTTCATAAACAAGTATTATTGTATGGATTCTGTATATGAGGGAAAACGTGGCTTCTTCCTTCTGGCAATGTATGCCCTCACTTAATAGTACACATTCTAAGTCCATCCATTCTTCTGCATGTCTCTATTTCATTTTTCTTTTCAGCTGAATAACATATATATATATATATATAAATTTTATTATCTATTCTCTCCTTGATAGACAATTATGTTGATTACAATTCTTTTCCATGGTGAATATTGTAGCAGTAAATATGAGTAAAAATGAGGTGTAAATATCTCTATAGGTGTGTGTGAAGTTCTAGAGGTGTATGGCCAGGGATAAAATTACATTTATACATCTGTTCTATCTTTAATTGTTAATAATCTTCAAATTGAATTCTACTAGAGTATATTAATTTACACTTCCTTACACACACACCAACAGTGAATCAATCTTCCTTTCTCTTCACATCTTCTGTAACATTTATTGTGTCAAGTTGATTGATGACAGCTATTCTGCCAGGGGTGAGGCACCATTTCAAAGTAGTTTTACTTTACATTTCTATGGTAGTATTTTAGGGATTTTGAACTCCTTTTGTAGTATTTATTGGCCATTTGTGTTTCCCTCTTCTCAAAGTATCTTTTCAGTTCATTTCCCCATTTGTTGACTTGAACTTTTATTTCCTTGAAATATAATTTCTGTAACTCTTGGTAAATTCTAGATATGAGCCCCTATCCAGAGTGTCACTTTCATTCTGTGGGTGTCTGTGTGCCCTGCTGATTATTCCCTTTGATGGACAGAAATTTTATATTCATGTTGTCCCATCTGTTGATACTTGGGGTTATTTCCTGTGCTTTTAATCAACAAGTTCTTGCCTGTCCCAATATCCTGATGGGTATTTTCTGGATTTCAGTGCTTCTGGTTTTAAATAAGATTTTTTGATCTATTTAGAAAGGATATTTGTACAAAGTGAAAAATAAGAGTTTAAGTTCATTTTCCTGCTGAACCCAGTTTTGCCAGCACCATTTGTTGAAAAGGCCATATTTTTCTAATGTATCTTTTTTCTTCCTTTGTCAAATATTTAGTAAGTATGTCTTTCTGGTTTTCTTTCTAGGTCTTCTATCCTATTCTATTATCCTCCTATCTGTTTTTATTTCCATACCAGATTGCCTTTATAACTACAGCTATACAACATAATTCCATAATTTCACATATACTATAGAACTTTTCTCAATTCTTTCCCCCTACCTCATTTTTTCAGGAGTAAACATCCCCTATGGACTTATGACTTGTAATTTTGAAAATATTTCCATTGTGATACATGAACAAAAACAGTATGTTGGGGCTAGGTGGTGGTGGCATGTGCCTTTAATCCCAGCACCCGAGAAGCAGGTATATCCCCATGAGTTCAAGGCCAGACTGGTCCACAAAGTGAGTTCCAGGCATGCCAAGGCTATATGGAGAAACCGAGTCTCAAAAAATTTTTAATGTGCGTGTGTGTGTCCAATTATAGAGAATAGACTATGCCCTTATATAGTATGTGCCATGTAAGTTCCATTTGTAGGATCTGTCACATTTCCCTTGATCATGGTTATACAAATGCGTCTTGAAACACATGGACTAGTTTCCACAACATCTTAGAATTGTTTGGAATTAAGATCGCCTTATATGTTGGATCTTAATAATAAATACTTGGTTCCTATTAGTCAAAATTTAAACACACTAGAGAATGCAGGTCATGGCTGGCATACGTGGCTTGATCTTGCCATGAAATTGTTCTTGAGTGTGGATTCAGGATGTAGTCTACCTACATTCTCTTTGGTACTTAATATCTCGATAGTGATAATGTATCTGTTTGTTGACACCTCATGTCTGTTTGTCTCAGGAGAACTGCTGCTCAGATCACTCACTTGGTAGGGATGTTCAGTGGTAACTTCCAAATTAGAGAAATCAGTTCTCGTTCCCCCCCCTCTCTCCCCCCCCCCCAAGCATTATCCCACTGTACTGACCTTTCTGTTTTGGACTCATTATGTAGCATTATGTGGAATGCATTCACAAAAAATATTTTCAAGAGCCAGGTGGTGATGGCAATCCCAGCACTCAGGAGGCAGAGGCAGGAAGATGTGTCTGGGTTCCAGGCCAGTATGGTCTACAGAGGGAGTTTCAGCACAGCCTGGGATGACCAAAGAAACTGTGCCTAAAAAACAAAATTAGAAACGAAATATCTTGAAGGCCTTGACGGATTGGTACTCATAAGCCATCACATTTGAACCTTCCTCATGGTTGCATTGCTTTAGTCAACGTCTCTACCTTGAAGCTGCAGTGTGTTAAAGTGGAGATTTTGGAAGTGGTTTACATTTCTATCTGTGATTCATGGAATAGTCCGAATATGTCACCACTTTGCATTTTTATAGGAATGACAAAAGAATCATAAACACTACTAACTAAAATCTGTTAGATGGGACAGCTTAAGTACTAAAGAACACACTGAGAACTTCAAAATCAGACAGAGGAGGTTAGATTTTCTCCTGAGCCATGCTTCTGAGCTATATTATATTTACAAAGCACTGAAAGTGACTAATTTTCACACAAGTTAATATATTTATTTACTCACAGGAAACCTATGCCACTTCTGGATGTATCCAAAGTTATTACCGTTACATGTTCATGCTTACCTGAAACTTAAACATTATTTGATGAACACATGTGATATAAAAGAATTGGGGCATTGTTAAATGTTTGCCTAGGGTTGGGGTAGGAAGAAAGGAGGAAGAATGGGTAGGTTAACCAAACAGGATATATGAAGAAGTCTTATGAAATCCCACGTTCAGCAAGTTAGACTTTGCTGATTCCCAGCTTTAGTTTTCACTGGTTCTTTATCTGTGACAAGTAGATGTCCGTCATCTTTTCCTCGGGAATAGCGTCACGTATTAGTGCTAAAATTGGGTCACACAGTAGTTTTCATACTTACATATATTCCTGTTTAGAACATCTATACTGATTTCAAAAGTTGATTCTCTAGTTCTCCTGCAGATGTGTATGATCCCCTTTTACCAGATTTATAACATCTGTTATCATTTCTATTCCTAATGATGGTCATTGTAGCTAGAGTAGCATGGAAGCGTAAGGAAGTCCTAGTATGCATTTTCCTGATAACCTCCTTTCTTTATTTTGATTTTAGTTTGGGTTCGTTTTTGTTTGTTTGTTTGTTTGTTTTTCTGGGGTTTTTTTGCTGTTGTTTTTCTTTTCATTTTTTTTACTATTTTAATTTTGAGATTATTATATAATTACATCATTTCTCCTTTCCTTTTCCTCCCACAATGCTCACACATACCCCTTCTTGATCTCTTTCTAACTCATGGCCTCCTTTCCTATTAATTATTATTGCATATATGTGTGTGTATGTGTGTGTAGACATTTCTCAATTTCATCTATACAAGCAATATATTGTTACTTGTATGTATGTTTTCAAGGATGTCCATTTGGTATTGAATAACCAGTTGGTGTGCTCTTCCTTGGAGGAGACTGTTCTCTTGTTCCCAGCATTCCCCAGTTGCCTGTAGGCTTGAGGCTTTGTGGATTTTCCCCCAACCATTTTGGCAAGTCCATTGTCCATGCTCAGCTTCTGTTGGGGAGGCCATGTTGGTGAGATTTTATAGATATAGCTTCTGGCATTACTAGGAAAACAATCTCCCAACACACTCCCTGATCCTTTGGCTCTTAGAGTCTTTTTTATCTCCTCTTCAAAACGATTCCTTGGGCCTTACATGCAGATTGTTTTGTAGAGGGGCTGGCCTCTACTACTCTGCATTTTGATTAGCTGTAGTGTTGATAGTTGTGGGGTTTTTGTTGCAAAGAGATGTTTTCTTGATGATGGGTGAAGACTATACTTATCTGTACGTGCAAGGAAAAGTGTTTAGATTCTTGTTAAGGATTATGCTAGTTTATTAAACATGTGGTTGTATGTTTTCAACTAATATTCATGACTTCACCAGTTCTGAGTAAGTAGCAAGATTTACAGTAACATACATGGTTTCCCTTTTAAGAAGGTCCGAAGTCCAATTAGAGAGCTATTGTTTACCACCAAGGTATGACTGTCGCTACTGCACTCTTAGGGTTATCATGCTATGATGATCATTGATGTGATTTGTGGGCATCAGAGGTAGCTAGGGTTGTTGATTGATTACCTCCTTTGGAAGCTTGCATAGTGCCAGAAGTTCCCATGAAGCTATTCTTTATGGAGGAGTTAGCTTTATTTTTATAAAAGTTATCTCTGCATATTGCCAGCTTTCCCTAGACTCACTATATAGTTCAGGCTGGCCTTGATCTCAGAGTTCACTTGCTTCTGCCTCCTGAGTGGTGGTTTTGAAGGCTTGAATTGCCTTGATCAACTGTATATGACTTTTGCTATCATATCTTGGCAATTACCCATGATAACTCCGCAGCCTACTTGATAGCCATAAGTGAACAGGTACATCTTATTTATGCCTATTGACATTAAAGATTTCTAGTCCACCGAATTGGAAACTTTTGTAAATAGATGAATTTCCAGGTGCATATACCATACCAAATTCAAACAACATAATAATAATATAAACAGAGCTACCAGTAGCAATGAGACTGAAGCAGGAAAAAATGTCCCCCCCCTAAAAATAATCCCAGGACCAGATTGACAAGATTCTAGCAGAACTGCAAAGAACTTAACAGCAAAGATACTTAACATTTAATACTTCTTGCCAGAAAAAAAGGAACTGTCCTGACTCTTAGTAGTTAGTACCTGGTATTAAACCAGGTAATGATACATCCAAAAAGAAATTACAGAGTGATGTGGCCATGTAGAAAATTTGTTATTATTCGCTAATTTACACATGCATATGTATTCATACAGTGTCTGTATATATACATACTGTATGTATGTGCATATATACATATATATGTCTTGAATGTGTATAATATGTGTGTATAAGCACACACACATACACATATGTATACACACACTCAAATACTGCCCAATCTCACTTACCTCTGTGCTATTCTGGTCCTCAATTCCAGCAATCACTCTACTGTGTTCATCTCTATTCATACTGAATGGGAACAACTGAGATTGAGACTGTGGGTTTGGAGCTATGTGCTGGAGCCTGATGTGCTCCGCCGAGGATAACAACTAAAGGCAGTGATTCTTCTCCTACAGTCTATCCCTAGCAAAGGTTACTTTACTGAGAGGTAAAGTGAGCCGCTCCCTTTCCTGGACGGATTGTGGTCTTCTCTGAAGTCAGTGCACGAAAGTCCAGTTGCTGTTGGAGACTGATCACAGTAGTTGTATGGAGTTTAGAGAATGGCCTGTCTTTGCCCCTTTCCCTTCTTACTTCCAGACCAATTCTTCTTCCTCAGTGTTCCCAGAGCTAGAGATGGAATGGTGTAACTGACATGTTTAGGGCTGGGCCCCCATACCTTACTTATTTTCTGTACCGACAACCAAAAGTGTCTGCATTCACCACTGCATTTTTTTTCCAAAGAAATTTTCTGTTTTTTGTTTTGTTTTGTTTTCTCAAAGCACCTTTAATCTGAGTCACAGACTTAACTCCCTCTGAGTTACTGAAATGAGAAAACCACCACCTAGTGGTAAAAGCAGTAAACCGCGGGATGAATTCCGTCATAGGCTTTTAGCAAAGGGCTGACGAGTTGATTTTTGATACATCTATTTCTCTTCAAAATCCAAGTTCCTCAAATAATCTGTCCCCAGCTAACAATTGTAGTATTTGGTTTTGGCTTGTCATTTTGTGTGTGTGTTGGATATCGGACTCTGGCATCTGAATTTACCCTGTTATTGTTTGATGTATGTAGCCCATAGGCTGGTAGTCAAGTCGAGGTGTTAGGCTAGCCTGCATCTAACCCGGGAGGAGGGGGGGAGCGCAGGTACTGGGGTGCAGTGTCCTACTAGATCCGGTTCTGGTCTAGGATGGCAGTGGTCATGGGATGGCTGTTCAGAGCAGATCCAGAGCAGCCTGACATCTGGAGCGGTGTGGAAGGCAGCCTGAGACACAGTGGGAGGGACCAGTCTCCACGGGGCGGGGAAACTGGTCTAGATAAAAGGAGTGATGAGAAAAACAAAGCCTTCTAGGAAGGCCTGGAAAACTCAATTGGACTGGGTATTTGAACCGGTGGGCTGGGTCAGAGAACCTACGTAACCGGAACCTGTCTATAATAGGCGGACCCAAAGGTGGCTCCAAGGACCACAGGAGGGAGGGGCCGGAAAACCCTCCGTTCCCTGATGGACCGCAGGGAAATCTTTGTTTGAGGGTTGGGTGGCCGACACTGGCCATAGTTTCACGTGGATGTGAAAACTTACTGCAGCAACGGGAGCCTTGTGGGGCGGTCTGGAGAGTCACCAGTCAGCACACAGTGGCAGGAACCGCAGCCCAGCGGTCCAAGAAACTCCCAGGTCAGTGGAGCTGTAGTGAAACAGGTAGGAACTGGACCAGGGGCTTGTTAAGTTCTCTATTTCTTATAAGGATACCGCTTTCACAATTCTGGTGAAGGGTAATACCCTTGAAGATAAGTTTGAGAACGTATGAAATGGGACAAATGCTGATTTTATCATTTATATGTGATTTACAGAATATTCTCATAAATGTATCTCTTAGACTAATTGAATTTATGTGTTGACGTTTGCAAAGTTCTTTTTGCTGTTATGCAAAAACTAAAACCGTTTAAATTGAAACATTTCTAACAATACTGATCTACTCCTTTCTTATTCAAGAGAGTGCCATTTGACATACAGATTTTGAGGTCCCAGAGAGCTTGTTAACTATCAGATCGGTAAGGAGTAGCTGCAGATTTTGATCAGGTTTTTGCTTGTTTGTTTTTGTTTTGTCAAGCTATACAGTTATGGCTGAAAATTTTAACAATTATTAAGTGAAGTTTTTACTCACTGCTAATTTTGCATTTGAAATGCATAGACTCTGATGTAAATATAACAAATGTGTGTTTTTAAGTTGAGGTTTTAAGGCACACCTCATGAGTCCAGAACAGTGCATGTATGTTGTATGTGAGGATATCAGGCCACACTGTTTTCATTAGAAAACAATATATATTAGGACAAAGTTAGAAAGCATCTTTTCTGGTGCAAGAAACACACTCTGACAATGGACAAATGGCCAAACTCTTGCTTTTTAATTTCAGGGATGTTGACATGCAGTGATGTGACTGTGAACTTCTCTCAGGAAGAGGGTGAAAAGCCTGGACACCACTCATAGGGTTTTGTACTGAGACTGAACATTGCAGAATTGCAGCAGTCCTGTTTCTGTGGGTGACAGTAGTTTCTTGCAGTCTTCCTCGATCCTTCTCAGGGTTCCTGAGGAAATGACTCTGCATGTGTTTAACTCTCTGTGAATGAGTCTCACATCTCACAGAAGAAAGTGACAGCCTCAGAGGAAAAGTCAAAGCTTTCATGAAATTTCATCTGTTCTTCATGTTTGTACTTTTGGGAGGTGTAAGGCTTATTTCACTTTTGTTCAATGGTGAAATCAAATACTCAGTGGTGTGTAATATCACTCCAGTAATATAGATCCATTTCTTCCCTTGAGTTTTGGTTGAGCTATGATTAGAAGTAGGATTCAAATTATGGAAACTCAAAATGCTACCTAAATATTTTCAGCATGCTGACCCTATATAACAGTTGGGAGATCATTTGTAGAACTCTCTGTTCCCATTTCTGTATTTCTACTGAGCACAGTACTTTATTAGACATCCTGGTACTTACTGAAGAATCTGTTTCTCCTATACAGGGCTTATACTTTTCAGCCACACCTGCTCATCATTGAAGTGTCCTGGAAGGAGGAGAGAAAGGCAACAGTAGCAAAGGATCCAGGTATGTTGTAGAATTGACAAAGGGGTAGAAAGGGGTTCAAGTGACAGTGGAAATGGGACGTGAAGTCAGTTTTGCCACATTCTGTTGTAGAAATGACTCTGGAGAATTCCACTGAGAATAATCTCCTCAGGATTATCCTATTGTAAATGTTAGAACATTTTCTATGTACGAATAAATACTAGGAACAATTACAATTTGATTTTGATTGTGAGTGATGCTATCTCTCTTCCATTCGTATTGCTGATCATGTATTTATACCAATATTAAATGGTTTTCCTTTCTATAATTTTAATGTAGTGCTTCATTAGGACACTTGATGCCTTTAGGTTTTTTCTGCTTCAAAATTTGGGGGCTTACTGCATTTTCTTTGGTTTTAAATCTTTTCAAGTTAATTTCTCCATTCCATAAAATAATACCAGTGGGAATTTGACAAGCATTGCTTGGCACTGTCTATTATTATCTGGATTATTAAACTCCATCTTCATTGTCTTCCCATTGCTCTCTTCTGTTATGAGTCTTCATGACGGTACTCAACAATTTGCATAGCTAAAATTTTAATGTATTTTGAAATCACCTCTAGGTTTGATCCTTCTCTCATAATTTTTGAAGTCTATGGTTTCTCGTAAGTTTGTGCATTTTAGTATTATTTTCTGTGTTTCCATAAAAATAAGTGTAAGATTTTGGTATAGAGTGCTTAGAATATTTATAGTACACAGACCTCCTCTACATTGTCTTTCTGTTTGAATTAGCACATTATAGCACTGTGTCTTTTAATGTATTCTGTTTCCTCTCTGCTAATGGTATCTGTGTTTCAGATTCAGAGAAGAGAGTTTTTAAAACATTGATATTTGTTAATTTTTTTTTAATTCTGGTACTTCTAGAACACAGCCACATTGGCGAGCATCTCTTGAAGTTAGACAGTTCTGCCTGGGAATCTCCAACTGTTATATGGTTGATTTTTGTGGATACCTGCTAGACAATTGGTTTTCTGTCTGATTTCATTGTGCCTTGAAGATTGGTGGATGTTGACACTTCCCTGCATCACTGTCTATTTTCTCCCTATAATTCTACATTGATTGCTTCTTGTATTTGGACAATTTTGTGAAATGCATTCATATCGAATGCAATCGTGTTTGTCAGTTTGTGTTCTTTTGCCATGATATGTAGTTCTGTTCATGAACAAGTTCCCTGTGTCCACATATGGACATATTTCTATTCTCTGTTACTATGCAAGTTTCATTGTTTTAGATCATACACGACAGTCTGTGATCCATTGTACACTGGGAGAGAATTGGACCCAGGATCATACTTCTGTGTGGATAGATACGTTTCCCAACATCATTAGTTGACAAAGCTGCCTATTATGCAACACGCATGTGGTATTTTGGTGATTCACATGGTCATTGCTATTAGTCTAGTTCTCAATCTGCTGCTCTGTTTCCCTGGGCTGTGTGTCTACTCATCTGCCACTCCCATAGTGCTGTATGGCTCTGCAGTGTCATCTAGAATCAAAGCTAGGATAACTTAGGCTCTGCTCTGTACTCTCAGGGTGTCTGAGCTTCCGTGGAAATTTGTAAGAGTCTCTAGTGTATCCGTGAGGTATATGAAGGGGAATTTGATTGTCGTGGAGTTGGAGTTAATCATACCAATCTCTTTCATTAGAATTGTAATTTTCAAAGTACTATATGTCCTGTTACATGAGCATGGAAATTCTTCCCATCTTCAAGTATTTTTTTTCAGTTCCTTCAACAAATTAAAGAGTTCATTTTAGAGGACTTTATTTTGCTTGTTTACGTTTTTGAGTTCCTTTTTTTCCCATTAGAGAAATGTATTTTTAAGCCAGGAGTAGTGCTGTATACCTTTAATCCCAGCATCTGGAGGCAGGGGCAGGTGGGTTTCTGTGACTTTGATGCCAACCTGAGAGTTCCAGGACAGCCAGGCTGTTACCCATAGAAATCCTGTTGTGGACAGGGATGGGGGTTGGGGGTAGGGGAGTTCTCTTTAATATTATTTAAATGGCAGTAATTACAGTACAAGGGTTTTATAATTGGATGATTGTATAAATGATTAAAATTTTGCTTCTAAATAGGTATTGGTATTTCCTATCATTTACGTTTTTACAAATTTTATAATGATTAATTTTGATATTTAATCATTGCATATTGAGTGTACTGTGATCACAGTTGCTCCTCACTGTTATCTATGATTTTATCACCTTCCCTACTATTCCTGGGTATCCATAGTCACTTCCCAATTATTCCCTTTTATTTCATGTGCCTTTTGTGCCAATCTTGAACGAGTAGCTAGAGTGTCGTTTGTGTGCATAATTCCAGCTGCTATGTATTATGACAGTACAGTTTTCCGTACATCACCTCCCTATCCTCTGTTTCTTACAGTCTTCCTCCTTCTTCTGTAGTATCCCCTGAGATTTGGAGTTTGTAATGTAGGTTTCCTACCACAGGCTTTGCAGTTAGTGATCTCTGAAATAACTGTTTCATGTTGTTAAACAAGGTTTCTCTGTCCTGGGTTAAAAGCAGCACTAGGCTATGAGTACAAACAGAATGAGCTAAAGGCCAGTGTGAGTATTTGTACATATAGCAAAAAGTCAAGAATGGATTCTTTCCTAGGGCCTGCCTCTTCCCAGTCATAGGCTTTTGGCCAGCTTTCCAGTGATATCCGTCTGTTTCTTAATGTGGAGCCGGCTACAAATCCAACCAGAAAGTCTTCGTTAGCTACAAAATAGTCTTGGCACTGTTACACTGGTGTTCAGCAGGTAGGGATTTTAGCATCCAGGGTTCACTTCTGGGTATGGGCTCTTTTGCCACAGCAACCCGCACAACACAATTTGGGAATATGAGTGCTACCACCAGGAAGTCCAAGATATTTGTAGAGACTGTGAGTGGTCTGCTGATGTCTTAGCATCTTCTTGTAGGTATGTAAAATTTCAAGTGATGCTGTATGTGAATTTTATAGCTTATTAAGAGGGCTGTCAGATCTGAGCTTTCTCATGGAACAGTATAAAGTTTTTGAATTTCAGAATTCATTTTCCTTCATGTAGGGGTAACTTGCATTTGACTTTCTATATTGACCCCTGTAAGTTTTTCTCCTTCTTTGTCTGAATAACAGTTGATACACTGTTGAGTTGGTGTGGAAGAAATGGACACCTTTGTCTCTGTCCCGATTAGAGAGGAATGATTCCAGTTTTCCTCACTGAGTGCAATGTTGTTGTGCCTTCTAGTGTTTATGATGTTAAGGTATGTGTCTTTAGAGCTTTTATAATGGATAAATGTGGTATTTTGCCACAGGTCTTTTATGGCTCTATTGACATAATCATGCTTCTTCTCTCACTGAATGTAGTTATTTGCTGTGTTTCTGAAACACTTACACCCCTGGTATGAAGTCAGCCTGAACTCTACTTCTGTATAGTTCAGTGAGAGTGTCTGGATTGATTTCTACCCTGACAACTGATCTATGCTTCGCTTGTCCTTATCTGCTTTGAGTATCAAGATCTAAAGCAGCTTTGTAATGATATGGTGTTCCTTTAGAGAATGCAATGTTGAATCTATCTAGTCCTGGAATATTTTTAGAATAAATTATTAGTGCTTAAATCCCAGTATTTGTATAAGATCTACTCTAGTTTTATAACAGAGAAGATTGTTTCTAGGAATTATCATTTTCTTCTACATTTCTAGTTTCTTTGGAATGACTTTCTACAGCACTCCATAAAGTAATACAGGGTGTCTATTGTTATGCCCCCTTTCAGCTCTAATTCCATTGCTTAGGGATTTACTCTCTTAGCTGGGATTAGGTAAAGCATGTTTTGTCAGAACTTTTGTTTCTCGATAGAAACAAGTCTGTTACATACATAAGTCTGTTCAGTGTGTCACTATTACATTAATTTCTACAAAGCATTTCTAATATCTTTACATCATTTTAGATTGACATATTCTTATGATTGTCAGCCCTCAGGTACATAATTAAGGACATACGTCCTCTAAAACCAGAGCTTCTTGCTGCCAAGCTTCTCAGCATGTCTTTGTTACCACAATTCAGTGCAGCTACTTTTCATGACCTCACACTCACCCTGACATGACATTTCAACAAGTTGTCATCAGCGCTTCATGAATTCTGTCTCACTGTTCAGTGATTTAGGTCTTCTCAGTAGTTAATGGAGGAACAGCAAATGAGGGGCTGGAGAAGTAGCTCAGCACTTAAGAGTACTTAAGTGTTGTTCTCAAAGAGATCCTTGGTTCAGTACTCATCATGGATGAGCTAACAGTACAGGAACTAACATAGAGGTGTCTCTACTTGTATTAGAGTTAATGTGGAGCCTGAATATATGACACAGGACAGTTGTCACCTCATACCAAATTGGAAGAGTCAGGAATGATTTCTATGTATGATAAGTAATGTTTGTGCTCATGGGGCCCAGAGCTGGAGACTAGACTGCTCATTGTAATGTGACAACAGAAGATTTATCATATTGACGGTGTAGTTAGGTACGTAGTAGTAACTGTTATGAGGATCCACTCTAATTGTGGACAAATTTATAATTCAGGAAGATGTCAGCACCCAGCATCCCATCAACAAAGAAGTCTGCTATCAGACGCCACAGTTTTCGGATAACCACAGGCCCACAAATCTCAGAGCCTCTTGGCGGTTAAGTAGATGTGATATAGAACGGCCGTGTGCCCATTCTTCAGTACTTCATCTACATAGGTATCATAGGTTGAGTTAAGGGCTCTGTGTCAATTGTGTCCTAAGTCACACCCAACAAGCTCTTTCATGCTGTTCATATGTAAAATGCATCGAAGCCAAACATATTGAGTGACAGTCTCACTGCCACACTCATTTCAGTGCTGTGGTTTGCGGTTGAGCTTCAAGGGTCCTGAAGGTCATGCATAGTCTCTGAGGAGAGTTGGCTGCATGTGGCGTATTCACTGGGAGCTTTTGAGTTGGCTGCATTTCACCTTCATCTCTACACTGCTGTCAAATCCCATGTTGCTGCTGTGAATTTCACTGACCTCATGTGTCCACCTGTAGAGCAGTCACATCCCATGTGCAGTTAGGATTCTCTAGAGGAAAAGAACTGATAGGGTGAATCTGTATATACATACAGAAAGGGATTTTATTAGAGTGGGTTACAGGCAATGGTCTATCTTGTCCAGCCAATAGAAAGGGCAAGTATCCTGTAACTTTTCAGTTCATAAGTCTGTGTGTCTCAGCTGCTCCTCAGTATACAGTGAAATCTTTGTTTTCTAATGACAGACAGAAAGTGGTGGATCTGGATAGGGGGGGGGGTGGGGAGGCATTGGGTGGAGTAAAGGAGGGAAAGTTGTAATCAGGATATATATAATGGTTGTACTGGTTTGAATAGGACTACTCCCTATAAGCTCATGTGTTTGAATACCTGGCCAATGGGGAGTGGCATTATTAGGAGGTATGGCCTTGTTGGAGGAAGTGTGTCACTGTGGGGTGGGCTTTGAGGTCTCATATGCTAAAGCTACAGCCAATATGTCACACAATCTCCTACAGCCTCTGGATACAGATGTAGAACTCTCAGCTCCTTCTCCAGCACCGTGTCAGCCTTTACACTGTCATGCTTCTCTCCAGTCCATCCAATGCACTCTGATGTCGGTGGGCACCAACACTTGCTTGGTACACATTCATACATCTAGGGCAAACATTCATATACATAAAATAGAAATACTGTACAAGTGAATATATACACACACATTGGCTTTTTTGTGTTTTTTCTGTTAATGACAGCCCTTTTTAAACAAATATTCATTAACTTTATTTTGAAGTTATAAAGATATAGGTAATTACTCCCTGGCTCTCCTCTGTTCATCTGTTACTCACATGAAATACCTTATCTCTTTATTCTTGGGGATAATTTCTTTTTGACTGATATGTGTATATTTGCCTTTAATCATTATCTGCAATGACTTGAGTAGAATGACATGTGTTAATTCATGAGTATCTTCAAATGCACTTCTCTGTCAATTTTAAGACATAATTTTTTTCTGGCTGCAATAATATGGTTGGCAGTTACTTTCCGGTATTTAAATATATTTTTCTATTTTCTCCTTGTTTTAGAATTATTCTGATATTATTCTGATGTTTGTGTCTTTTTGTGTGGTTTGACATTGTTCTTTAACAAAGATTAGTGTTAATTTTCGTTTTGCATTTTTTTTATACCTGATGTAAAATGGCAAGAAGGGGCCCAGTCATTGTTCATGAAACAGAAACTCAGAGCAGAGCAACAGGAAGAAATGGCTGCTTCTCCAGTAAGTACATCCCAGGTCCGTGTCATGTTGATGACTCCTCCTCTTCTTCCTCCCCCTCCTCCTCCTTTTCCTTCTCTTCCTTTTCTTCCTCCTCTTCCTTCTAATGAGAATTGTTCTATATTAAAACTTTGGAAGCCTTTATTTCTGTTTCTGATAATGTCATCTGAAGTGTTTGTTTCCCATGAATTTCTTTTTCTCCCAATACTCAAGATTAAGATACATGTCTACTGTGTATCACAGCCTTTTTTCTATTCAGCCCCCTCCAGCCAAACTCTGTGTGTGGGTAACTATTCACAATGAAAATAAGACCTGTGTTTCCATTGTGGTCAAACAAATATGTTGTTGTTTGGTTGCTACAGAGGATGGATTTGTGTACTTATAGGTTAGTTATCAAGGCTTCGTGTGCCATGTAATTCCATCTGAGGGATATACTTAGGTTTCCTTGAACTAGATTTATGAAAGTGCACACTCAAACACCCTAAATTCCTTGCTAAAATCCCCAATAATTTTTTTGGAAAAGGATTCAAAGACATACTCTTTGCTGCCACATGCAGCAAACTCTCCTCAGAGAATATGCATGACCTTCAGGACCTTTGAAGCTCAACTGCAAACCACAGCACTGAAATGAGTGTCACAGTGAGACTGTCACTCAATATGTTTGGTTTTGATGCATTTTGCATATGAACAGCATGAAAGAGCTTGTTGGGTGTGACTTAGGGCACAGTGAACACAGAGCCCTCTAGAGAGTGTTGAAGATGGCAGCAGTATGTGCCTTGGCTATACCTTGAAGTTGATGCTTCCGTGAGGAGATGCAGATTGTAGTCGTTTGTTTCTTTGGCACTTGATATCACACAGTGAGGATGCTGTGCTTGCGTTCGTTGACATCTGGCATCTATTCGTCTCAGGAGAGTTCCTGCTCGTATCATTCACTTGATTCCAATGTTCACTGGTAACTTCCCAAACTAGAGAGATAAGTATTTTCTCTTTGTCTTTTGTCTGTAGTTTCAGACAGCAAACCGTTGTGTAGCCTCTCCTGGTAGTGAGTCTTATGACAGCATGTGGAATATATTAGTAAGAATTTTCTTAATTACTTTGTTCTAATCTCTACCTTTGGAGGAGGAAGGATGTCCCATCATCTCCTTTTTTTTTCTTTTTTTCTTTTGTTGAAGCTACTGTTTTTCAAGGGTGGATATTATGGAAAAAAAAAAAGTCTGTGGTGGACAGATTTACTTTTTTATTTGGGGTGTAGCCCTGGCTGTACTAGAACTTACACAGTAGATCAGGCTGGTCTCACAGAGATCTGCCTACCTCTGCCTCCTAAGTGGAGGGATTAAAGGCATGTACTACCACTGGCCCAAATTTACATTTGTTTTAAATGTTTTAATTTTTTTCTACAGGACAGAATGTTTCAAATTCTGGAAAAACTGCTGTATAGCACACAAAGTTAGACTATGCAGTTAAATTTTATTTTTATTTTATTTCTATGGGTGGTTTTGCCTACATGTAAGTCTATGTACTACTTGCGTGCATGTTGTCCTCATAGGCCAGATGTGGGCAGTGCATCATGGGAAACTGGAGCTACAGGTGGATGTTAGATGCCATCTAAGTTATGAGAATGAAACAAAGGACGTCTGGAAGACTAAGCAGTACTTTTGACTGCTAAGCTATATCTACAGACTATCTAAAAAACATCTGAAAGAATAATTTTCCTGTATCATCTATATCACAAAAATGTCCCTAAATTCTTTTGACACTTTTTACCCATGGTAAAACTCTTAAATTTCTATTACAGGGTCTGTTGACATTCGGGGATGTGGCTTTGGACTTCTCCCAGGATGAGTGGGAATACCTGAACTCTGCTCAGAGGGCTTTGTACATTGATGTGATGTTGGAGAATTACATCAACCTGGTCTCTGTCGGTGAGAACATTTTTCTTACAGAATTCCATTTTTTGTATTTACCTGGTATATAGATGTATAAATTCCCTGATACTGTCTAGAAATTACAAGGAATTAGAAAAATTCTCATAACACAAAAACAAAAGAAACCAAACCAACTAACAACAAACAAAATTTTTCATGGAATTTCATTTTCATTTTCCGAAGTCATCTGAAAAGTCAACAGTTGCTCTTAACTACTAACCCATCTCTCCAGTTCTCTTACAAAGTTGTTTTTTTCCTTCCTTCCCTCCTTCCTTCCCTCCTTCCTTCCTCCCTCCCTCCCTCCCTCTTTCTTTCTTTCCCTCTTTCTTTCTTTCCCTCTTTCCCTCTTTCTCTCTCTGTCTCTTCCTCCCTCCCTCCCTCCCTCTTTCTTTCTTTCTTTCTTTCTTTCTTTCTTTCTTTCTTTCTTTCTTTCTTTCTTTTGTTGTTTTGTTTTTTGCTTTTTTTCCAAGACAGAGTTTCTGTGTGAAGCCTTGGCTGTCCTGGAACTCATTTTGTAGACCAGACTGGCCTTGAACTCAAAGAGATCCACCTGCCTCTGCCTCCTGGTGCTGGAATTAAAGGTGTACCATCATGAACTTGCTATCCCCTCCCACCCAAGTTTTTAGTTAATTGTGTGTAACAAAGATGTGCATTGTAATACACTTAGTAAGTTAAATATTTTCATTTTAGTATTGCAGTAAACTATTCTTCAATGATTTCTGGGGGTAAATGAGATTTACAAAGAGAAAAATATTTTAGATATAATCCTTCATATAGCTCTTTTCCCAAAGTTATTTACTTTTTTTTTAATCATCTAATTCTCCCACCTTCTGGAAGTAGTGCAGTTTAGATAAGAATAAGAATTCTGTTGTCAGTGTGATGGAGATCAAAATGGAGGTTCTCTACATCTATACAACAATGGTGAAAATAAAAAGGCCACTATTGAGAGCTGTTGTAAATAATTATCACTTGTCTTAGAGAACTGAAGCTGACTCGACTATAGAATCTGTTACTCACGAGTCAATCCCTATTATTCCTAACTGTGCTCATTTCCCAGAGAAGCACCACATGTGTGGTAAATATGAGAAGGTCTTGGATCAACACTCAGAGCATATAGTCCGTCAACATGGGAATATCCAAGAGAAGTCTTACAAATATAAGGAGCTTGGCAAAATGATTCATGAGTCCTCTCCATGTACACCTTATAACACAGGTGGTACTGCAGAAAACTGCAACAAGTACAGATGTAACAACCAGGATGCTTCCATTGAATCATCAAACCTAAACAGACATAAAAGTGTACATACTGGAGAAGAACTTTTCAAATATAAAGAGTGTGGCAAATGTTTATGTTCCAACGTTAGTCCAAATCAGAGTATCCACTCTATAAAGATGGAGCACAAGTATAGAGAAAATGATAAGCTTTGGGGTTCTACCCACAGACTTGTACAGCCAAGGACTCATAGTGGAGAGAAAGCACACAATTATGGGACATTCTTTAGGAGTTGCTCAAGCCTCAGTTCACATCAGAGACTTCACACTGGAGAGAAACCATGGAAATGTAAAGAATGTGGTAAGTCCTTTAAGTGGTTGTCTCACCTTAAAACCCATTGCAGAATCCATACTGGAGAGAAACCTTACAAATGTAATGAATGTGATAAAGGCTTTTCCAGGTTATCTAGACTTAAAAGCCATTATAGAACCCATACTGGAGAGAAACCTTACAAATGCAAGGAATGTGGTAAGTGCTTTGCTCGGTTGTCAAGACTTAAAAGCCATTATAGAATCCATACAGGAGAGAAACCTTACAAGTGTAAGGAATGTGGCAAATCTTTTACCCATTGCACAGGTCTTAGTACACATCAGAAAATTCATACTGGGCAGAAACCTCACAAATGCAAAGACTGTGGTAAATCCTTTTATCTGTTGTCAACACTTAAAGAACATTTTAGAGTCCACACTAGAGAGAAACCTTACAAGTGCAAAGAATGTGGTAAGTTCTTCCATTGGTTGTCAGGCCTTAAAAGCCACTACAGAATCCACACTGGAGAGACACCTTACAAATGTAAGGAATGTGACAAGTCATTTTCTCAGTTATCAAGACTTAAAAGCCATTATAGAACCCATACTGGAGAGAAATCTTGCAAATGTTTAGAATGTGACAAATATTTTACCCAATGCACAGCTCTTAAAAGACATCAGAAAATTCATACCGATGAAAAACCCTACAAATGTGAAGAGTGCAGCAAATGTTTTTATGTGTTGTCTCACCTAAAAAGCCACTGCAGAACCCATACTGGAGAGAAACCTTACAAATGTGAGGAATGTGGCAAGTGTTTTTCTCAGTTGTCAAAACTTAAAAACCATTATAGAATCCACACAGGAGAGAAACCTTACAAGTGTAAGGAATGCGACAAATCCTTTACCCACTGCACAGCTCTTAGTACACATCAGAAAATTCATACTGGAGAGAAACCCTACTCATGCAAAGACTGTGGTAAATCCTTTTATCTGTTGTCAAGACTTAAAGAACATTACAGAGTCCACACTGGAGAGAAACCGTACAATTGCAAGGAATGTGGTAAGTTCTTCCATTGGTTGTCAAACCTTAAAAGACATTCCAGAATTCACACTGGAGAGAAACCTTACAAATGTGGAGAATGTGACAAATCATTTACCCACTGCTCAAGTCTTAAAGCTCATCAGAAAATTCATGCTGGGGTGAAACCCTACAAATGTGAAGAGTGTGGCAAGTCTTTTTATTGGTTGTCAAACCTTAAAACCCATTCCAGAATCCACACTGGAGAGAAACCTTACAAATGTGGTGAATGTGAGAAATCCTTTACCCAGCGTTCTCTTCTCACAAAGCACAACAGGATCCATATTGGAGGAAAACATGGACATAGAAACGTGTGAGAACTTTTGATGAATGATTAAATCATAGAAAATACCAAGAGCTTATACTAGTTCATGAGGATAAAATGTAATCAGAAAAGTCAAACCAGAAAGAAACCACAAGAGTGTTCACTGTTGTGAACTCCTCATGTCTTGTGCATTAGAAATTCCATGCTAGAAAACCCATGATATGCATTGGTTTTTGTCAAATCCTTTACCTAGTGTTAAAATTGTAGATACATCTGAAAACTCATCCTGAAGGAAAACCCAAGAAACTCCTTTAGTAAAGACTCCTCTTTTTCTTACCTTCAATATAATCATTTAGGAGTCAAACCATACAGACAGCAAGAGCATGAGAAACATTAAAGAAATAACTTGTGGGTGTGATACATGTACATACATAGCCAGGAAATCCCAAAGAATGTGCAGGGAAAATAATTTTTCAGTACTCAAGAAAATTGGAAAAGTATTTATCCAACTGAAAAGCACCGTGATTCATATAGAAACACTGAGACACAACAGACATTAGCCAAACAACTGTATTGCAAAGAAGGAAACCAAATGCATAAGGGAATTTGTTGTGTACTTGAATGGAGGAGGATATTTCTATTTGAGTAAATATAAAATTCATATTAACATGTGGGTAATGCCACTACTGAAATTTGATGAAATGTAAACACAGTAGGTTTTTTTCACACTCAGATACATCCATGCTGTCTTGCTTACAGATGAGTTTATGATAATGTCTATCAATTGTTGCTGCTTCAGAGCTGATAAATCTGAGACAGGAGTGATGAAGTGAGGTAGCTAATGACTGGTTGCTAATCATCTGGTGACTCCAACCATCTAGGCAGACTCATGATGGCAAATTCAGATTCTCCCTGGGTCCAATCTTCATGCAGGTACTGCACAGACCAAGGCCTTGATGACCTTTTGAGAACTACACTAGTTTATGACAGTGTTCCAGTCCCAGAGAGAATTCTGTCATTGTGTGCCTGTGAAGACCACTTTTTTTTAAACCACTTATCCCCAATTGTTTTCTTCATTGGATCGCTATGTAAAACTCAACCTTTGCAACCTGAGCAGAATCCTGTCTTGGAATCCCTTTGGTTTCAGGAGTTATTCTTCACCTTCATTTGTAACACATGGTGCTTGAAGTGCCCTACTCTGTTGGAGTTCAGTTTTCTTTGTGTGGGCAGAATTCTGAGATCATGGCAGCTTACAGGCACTGGAGCTTGAGGCCTGCTGCTCCTAGCAGTCTACTCTCATAAGGTGTCATCAACATCAGTTGGTCCATGAAGAATTAGTAGTCTACACAAGCTTCAATACTGTAACACAAATGGAGCTGAGCTTTAATTTGCGGAAGGAGGAACACACATGAGGTAAGTATGCTAAGCAATAGGAAAAGAAAAGGGCTATCCTAGCTTTCAATTGGCAGAGGCAGGGGGATCTTAATAGCATATTATAGAAATATCTGAAAAAAAATGATAAACCCAGAGAACTGTTGATCTCTGTTGGGATTTCTTCAATAAAGTTTATGTGAAAAAAATAGAGATATCAGATGAAAGTAAAATCTAATATTTGAGAATATATAGTTGTGTTGAACAATGTACACCATGAAACTCACACCTTTGCTTTTTTTTTAAAATGGTCAATAATAACTGTAGGTTTCCAAATGTTAGTAAAGTAACATTCTTCCTACTATTATCTGCAGTTTTCATAAAACCATATGTATTTTTGAAATGTTCTACAACTCTATGTAAGGTGATTTTTTTAAAAAAATAAATAAAACATCTGTGTTTAATGGTTTTATGTGGAAATTCAGTGAGTAAATGTCTAGCCTCCAACCTGAACCTCTCATTTTATATTAACATATGAGAGATGCAGGATAATTTTCAAGGCTTGATCAAGCACTAGAATGCTTTCATTCAGAATCTTCCCATGGTACTTAAACCTTCAATGATTTGCATAATCTTGTCAAAGTTTATGTTTCATGTTTGAGGCATTATAACAAATGTAACAGAAATTGCCTGGCAGTGAAATTGGAATTCTTATTCATTGTTCTGGAAATTTTCATTACAAACCTCCATGCAGTACTTTCCTTGGTATCTAACCCTTGTCAGCCCCAGCTGAACACAGAGATTTGGCTTTTCCTTTATATTTAAATATATTTGTAAGTATTGGAACTGGAGAGATGTTGAGTGGTTAAGAGCACTGGCTGTTCTAGAGGATCTGGGTTCAATTCCCATCACCTGCGTGGCAGCTCACAAGTGTCTGTTCAAGGGAATCCAACATTCTCAGACAGACATATAGGTAAAACAGAGATACACATAAAATAAATAAATCTTTAAAAAAGTGTAAGTATACTAGAGTCTAGTTTATTGTTTTAGCATTTCATATATGTGTATCATGCATTTTGATAGACTCATACCTGAATACCTTTTCTTCACTGTTCTCAGCTTTGTTCCACCCTCATTCTATTGCTTCACATCTTTATGTTCTCTTTATTAAAGAAAACAAATGCCTGAGTCCACTTAGTGCCAACTCTATATGTACATGTGTATAAAACCAATCTTCTAGACCATGGACAGCCTTTCAGGGACTGTCTCCCTGAAGAAAACTAATTCCTCGTCCAATCAAATACACAACAAATTCTCTTACTCATTTGTTTTTCTCTTTGCAACACACTTGTTTGGCTAATTTCTGTTGTGTCTTAGTGTTTCTATGTGAATCGCTGTGCTTTTCAGTTGGAATAAATACTCCAACTTTCTCGAGTACTGAAAAGTAATTTTCCTGTACACTCCGGGATATCTTAGCTGCATATGTACATGTGTCACACTCACAGGTTATTGCTTCAATGTTTCTCAAACTCTTACTTATTGTAGGGTCTGACTCCAGCTGGTGGTGTGAGAAGCCCCTTCCCCAGCCATGCTGGCATTTCAGTTGCATTGAACTTGTCAGGCTGTCACAGGTGCTGTTGACTTAGGTGTTCAATAGCAGTGCCACATGAGAGATGAGGAAAACAGATTGGCCATGCATGTGCTCTACCTTCTTAGAAACAGAGACCCACAGGCTGAACACAGCTTTGTGTAACTCACATTTTATCTAGTATAGCTAGATTATGGCCAAGTAGGTAAGAGTGAGCCACAGATGACAGAAACCTCTCTCTTCTGCCCATCCCATCAACTGCTTGGATCTTGTGGTTCTCCTTCTATGAGTGGAACTACCAAAGGTGCAGAACATGGCCAGACAGAGATGTTTCTGGACCAAGATACCTTCCAAAATTTTCAGGTAGAAGTCATATGTTGGGACTTGGTGAGAAAAACAAAGGCAAATGTGAGTTATCTCATCGTACCCCTCACCTGACCTCTTAACATTAGTCATGTGAAATTTGTGATATCATTAATGGGTTTGCCATAATAAGTTGATTTATTCTTCGCCCTTTCCAATTATAAGCACTCTTTATGGCTAAACACACCAGTGTTGGGGTGCATGGGGATGCGTGGGGTGTGTGTGTGTTGATATTTGTTTTTAACGTCATAATTATATCTTCTGAGATGAGTAAGTAAGCATGTATTCTTTTTGAAAGTCCATGGAATTAACTAACAAAAAGAATTGTGGAAGGTCCTACCCCATCTGCGTCAAACCTAACTGGATACTCAGAAGTCTCTGCTGAATAGAAGAAAGTGCACTGTCAGTTAGTGAATCAATGCTGAATAATTCAGAGATTCCCTCCATCATGAGAATGAGGTTTCTGGGTCTGAAGAAATGACTTATTGACTAAAAACACTACTATTCCTCCAGAGGACAGGAGTTTGAGTCCCAGCACTCTCTTGGTGGCTTACAACTGAAGTTCCAGGGGATCTGACAACTTCTAAGTCTTGGGTTACCAGGCAAGAACATTGTGTACAAACATGTTGGCAAAACACTCATAGATAAAATTAATACAGTGGAGTCACAGATATGAATGATGAGAGACAAAGTGCTATTTGTTGTTAAAGGTGTTACATTGAAACAAGATAGCTTCCATAGCTTAGCCTGCTGTCCAGGACAGACAGGAAAACCATGGCCCAGGACATGATCCCAGGGACGATGACATTACTGCACGATGTCTGCTCCACAAAACAGTGTCCTAAATCTGTTGACTTTCTGATGTTATTGTTACATGCATTGGGATAGTCTCATTTTTCAGACCATGGACCACCAAGCACAGTAAGACAAAGGTGCTGATATACTTGGTAGCCTTTCTACTCACCTGTGACCACCCAGGGCCCTGGCCTGTTGGTGATGTCCTTAAAACAACCAAGAATCAAGGACTGATGAACACAACCCTACACATCCTGTTAATGGGTAAAACTAGTTACTATCAATTATTATAAATTACATTTGGGAAACATGCAGCCAGTATAAATTAAAATGATGTGTTATAAGACTAGTATCAGTTACTAATTGTTACTGGGTTGTTGGGGGGTGTTTTTGTTTTTGTTTATGTTTTGTTTTATTTTGAGACAGGATCTCACTTTGTACCTTGAGCTGTCTTAGAACTCAGAGATCGAGTACCACCATGGTTGGTTAAATTAGTTTTTAATGAATAAGAAAAATGTATTTACAGGGCACTGTGTGACATTTTATCTATATACTAAACTATTAAAATATATGAGTATGAATGTCTTCCCTGAATGTAATGGTTTGAATAAAAATGGCCTCCATAGGCTCAAGTATTTGAATGCTCAGTCATCAGGGAGTTACACTACTGGAGAAGGATTAGTACATTTGGCTTTTGGGGACAGGGAGATTCTGGGTTGGCCAGTTTCTCAGCCAAAAGTCCTTGCTGACCAGGCAGGCTACAGTGGAGATAAAAGGTTCAGCAAGGAGTGGGAAGGAGTCAGTCAGTGGTCAGGGGAATTTATCAGCTCTGACTCAGGCTGTTTCTGTGGCTCTGACTTACTAGCAGTTGGGCTATTTTTGCAGCTCTGACTGATTAGCAACCAGGTGCTTCTTTATTTACACAGGTTTCACAGAACAATGACAGACTAATGATTGTCCGACTGGTACAAGTTATGTGTTGATTTTTCATTATATGTCTGGGGTCACACGTTCCATTACAATTAGAAAATACAAACAACAGATTTTATTCTTGTTATCAGCCCTATACCTCCAATTTAAAGAATCCAAAGAGTCTCCTCCAAAGCGAACACACTCATTTTACATCCTGCTTTAAGGCTAGCAATCTTTGCTGTTTTAAATCACTCCAGACAAACAGAAAATATCTGAACTGGTTTTTTATGAATAGCAAATACTAATACCTAACTTCTTTTAGTAAACATTTCATCATCTATCTTTATAAAGCAAGAAAAGTTTACTTTAGTCAATCTATCTTATTTACTGAGTTTTATTCCTCCAGACGTGTACTCTATATGACCCCCACCCCGATCTTTAAAATACATTTTCAGAGAGATCTAGCCTATAATAAAAAGAGAACTTGAAACTATAACCTATTCTTCTGGCCAGTCAGGGTTTATCAATTATCTCTGTTTACCCTGCACCAAATATACTGTTGAAGCTTGCTCAGGGGCAGATACTCTAAGAAAGTTCCCTGAATAATGGCCTCATCTCTTCAAGGCATAAGGAAGACTTTCAAAGAGTGGCCAGATAAAGTTAATTTTAGGATTTTCTTAAAAGGACTCACACATTTTTTCCCAGGAAAGGACATAAAATGAATCATAATGCAGAAAGTCCCCAAGAATGCAACATGCAGAGACCAAAACCCAAAATTAAAGAATGAAGGACAGCAGTTGTAGCAATCCATTCTGTTTTGCTAGAACTATGTCAAGCAGCTGTGCTGGCTTCGTGACTCTCACCATTTCCAGTGGATATGGCTGTGCCATGTGGCCATGTTGGAGGAGGCATGTCACTGGACTTTTTGAGTTTTCAAAAGCCCATACCAGGACCAGTCTGTCTTGTCTGTCTCTATGTCTCTGTCTGTCTGACTCCTCCACTCACCTCTCTTGGTCTGTGGATCAGGATATAGCTCTCAGCATGCTCCATGCTGTGATGATGTACATTACTATATCTAATATACTACATGTGCTAATATACTACATGTAGTATGGACTCCGACTGTGTGCCTGCTGCCTCTAGGATTCTGAAGAGAGCGTCAGGTCCACTGGAGCTATAGATGATTATGAGTGCTGGGAATCAAAGCCCAATCCATTGGAACAGCAGCAAGTTCTCTGAAGCATAGAGAACCTCTTCAGGCTCTCTAGATACATTGTACAAATCATTAATTCAGTTAGCAAAACTGAGACTTCATAAAACTGGTGTGATTTAAACTTTATACACCAGAGAAGGTATGAGATTCTTTGTAGACTGAAAAATATTAAGCCAGTTGGTAGTGGCATGCACATTTAATCCCAACAGGCAGAAGGCAGGTGCATGTGAGTCTCTTGAGTTGAAGGCCAGTCTGGCTTTGAATAATTCTAACCATCTGAAACAGTAATCCCAATTAAATGATTTCTTATAACAGCAATAGAAAAGTAAGACACAGGGTCTCACTCTGTAGCCTTGTATGGCCTGAAACTCACTATGTAGAGTAGTATGGCCTTGAACCCATGTAGATTTGCCTGCCGAGTGCTGGGATTAAAGTAATGGGATTATGTGACATCCCATTAGGCAATAATAATAATAACAGTAGTAATATTTTGGCTTTCTGAGACAGAGTTTCTTTGTCATGGAACTCAACTCTGTAGACTCAGCAAGATTTGTCTGCCTCTGTTTCCTGAGTGCTGAGATAAAAGGCATGTGCCCCCACCAGCTGGCTTTAATACATCTTTTTAAAAAATGAACTGCATACTGGGCATTTCTGGTCATGAAAAAGATCCATGTTCTTATTTTGTCATTTCTATATATTTTAATGCCTGGAGGTATTGTGCATCTTCATTGTTCACTGTGGTTATTTTAAGCACCCATTACTAAATAATACGGCACCTAACAGTTCATTGGTGGTAGGATGCACACTCAGCATGCACAAACTGAGGATGTTTCCTGTATGTTCCAGAATATGTCATGAAATAACAGTTGACAGACATTATATGGTCATCTGTTTCATCTGAGACCAGTACTGTTAGAGATTCTGGTAATTTCTGAATAATTCAAATGTGGCCATGTGCCTCTTTCTCATACTGTGTCTAAGGTAAACCAGGAGCTAAACCAAGAACCCTGGGTTGCAAAGAACGGGGAGATACTAATCAAACAAAGAGTCAGATTTGAGTGGATGAAAGGAGCCCAAGTAAGGAGTGCATTCAAGTTGAAAACATACTTGAAAATGACTTTTCCTTGCCGTTTCACAAGAAACAAGTCTTCTTTTTCTATTTAACTTTTAATTTATTTGGAAGATATCATGAGTACTGTGTGTTTATACCATTCCCACCCATTTAACTCTGTGTGTGTGTGTGTGTGTGTGTGTGTGTGTGTGTGTATCCTGGTGAGTCAATTTAGTGTCATGATGTACATGTATTTATGGATAAACACTTGGAAGTAGATGACTGATCACTTTTAGAAATTAGAAGTCTATTTGACAGTGTTCACTCAGGAAATTGCAGATTTTCAGTCTTGGTCAAGAATGATGTGTAATATAATCTAGGGTTACTTGTTTTTGTTGTTGCTTTTCTTTAATGATGTTTCTTCATTTTGTTAATCTATATTTTGACTAAAACACATGGACTATATTTTTTAAAGTTTAAAAACTGTACATATTTATTTTTAATAAATAAAACAGTGTTTTTATTATAACATCGAAGCTAAATGGAAAAAATATCTAGCCTCTAATTTTTAGCACTCATATCTTATTTCACCAATTGAGAAGCAAAGGAGAATTACCGGGCTTGTTTTCTGAAACTGGTAACTCAGTGGGATGGTTTCCTTGGGAATCTTTTTCCTGGGGGATATAACCCCCAAATATTTTTCTTGATGTTTTTAGCATTCATTGTATGTTTATTCTATGTGAGATTTGGTCAGTCCAACAGAAATAGGCAGCATTGTAATTAGAATCCTATTCTATGTGTGTTGATGCTGTGTTCATAAAATTTAGTCAAGCGTATGATACCACCTCATCAGTTAGCCATGCCAAGATGAAACTGAATATTCCTCCCCAGGGAGGCAGATTCAGGTTCCAAACAGCTGTCAGAAATTCACTGAAGTGGCTGATGAACTTAACTTTGTAGTTTCTATGAGAAGCACTTGGCCACAGAAGTATTTGTTTATATTCTGCTTGAAGAGTAGAAGGGTTTTGTTGTCCCAATCAATGATGGGAATGACAAGGTTTTCCCATGTCTTTACCCAAAGCAGTATGTGCCTGATGTTGAGTAAAGGGAGGGAAGGACGGTGTGAGTGCGGGAGGAGGGTGGGAGAGAAAAACCCGGCCACGCGTCAAGCAGAATATAAACAAATACTTCTGTGGCCAAGTGCT